GCAGCGTCGAACCATGTGAGTTCTGAAGCAGCGAATGCACAGCTTTTTTTCCTTGATTAGCTGCCAGCGTTCGTTTCGGCTCTTTGCTTTGAAGTCCGGGCAGTCAGAGAGGTTGTGGTCCTTTTCGCACTGGTGACAAGCAGGGGGTGTCTGCGTTTTCTCCTTAGGCGATTTAGTTGAGGCGCGCTCCTTAGAAATCTCGTCGTGCACAAAAACCCTTTCCTTAGTGCTCTTTCGTCCCGCCTTTTCTTCTCCAGTAGTACTGGCTGTAGGGTTAAGTGCTGTTACTTGACTAGCACACGATGCTAAACCAAATAACCAGTCGTCGAAGGTCACTATATCGACACGAACCGTAGCCATTCGATGACGACCCCAATCGAGCTTCATATCTCCTGGCAGTTTGTTCAGCAGCTCATTGATAAGCATAGGGTCGTTCAGGTAGTCGCTAAGACCCATTGCTTGCATCGTTGCTCTATAGTTCTGAACTGCCAACGCGAGCGCGATTAGCGTATCTAGGCGATCAGTCCTCACTGCTGGCATCTGCCTTAGTTTACGCTGTAGTGTGTCGTGGATCACGTCTGGTCGTCCGAAAAGCATGCGCAGTGTCTCGATAGCTAAGTGAACAGTAGAGGGCATCATTAGCTTTCCTCGCACGGCTTCAAGGGCCGCACCTCGTAGTGATTTTTGAAGCCTAATCAGATTCTCTTGTTCAGAGAATCCACAACGTTCAGTCGATTGCTCATAATTCGTTATGAACAGAGGCCACTCTTCTGGCTTCCCGGCAAGTCTTTACTTATTACCTGTCTTGCCGCCACGTGTTTGGGATAGACTTACGTCCAAACTACACTGAGACTGCGTATATAGCCGTCTCCACGTGCTGTCGGTAACGGGCGCAGGACCTCCATGTGGTTTCCTGCTGTAAAAGGCGTTTGCACATTGCTAGCATGTGCGCCAGCAGGCGGGAGTACACTTTCCTCTATAACGGCACCATCGAGATTCTGCAAGTCGGACATATCGTGTTAGCAAATGGCCGTCGCGTATAAATGTCGGCAAAGTATTTTAGATTGTTGACGAGTGAGCAAATAAAACACGTATTTTGAGCGGTAGCACGTACAAATGCTTTATATTCGACGATTTTAATGCTTTGATACGTTTGTGCTAAAATACTTGTGCTCCTTGTGGATGGATGTTCACTCCGCCAACGAAATAAAAGGAAAAGAAACATTTAGCGCTAACAACTTGACAGAAAGAGCGCTCATGTCAGCGGCTGAGAGACATACATCCACAAGGTTGCAATTTATGGTACAAGTTTAATAAACTAGAAACTTAAGGCTGCAGAGACTTATTGCGCGCTAACAGTACACGATAGTATTCAAGCTGAGAAAAATATGAAATCATCATTTATATCAATATATCATTTAATATCTAATAATAATAATATTTAATATCATTTTAAATAAAGCATAATGTAGAATTTTTCTAATATATACTTAAAAAAAAAGAATTGCAAAATAAAATAAATTGGTGTAACTTCGACATTTTTGGTCGAAAAAGCTCAACCCGGAACCTCTAGGAATCACCTGAAGGCTTTTAAACTAATTACGTATTTATTTATATCCCTAACCTCACATTATTCTGTGCGAAAACTTTTGGATTCATGCATTTCAAATTTTTCATACAACAAAAAGGCCACTCGAATATGCATACATGCAGCTTT